GTGTGGACGCCACCACCTTCCTCTACTTCAGCTTCTTCGCGCCGCTCATCTACGTGGCCTTCCTCCGGGGCTTCTTCGGGTGAGTCGGCCCCGCCCCCGCCCTGCGGTTCCGGGCCAGGGCGCCCCCGCGTGGCTGCCGGTGGGTCCGCACCTTCTGCCTCCCGCACGTGCTCATGCTAGAGCACCCCATGTGTGCACGTGCACCTGCATGCGCGTACACAGCGTGCACACATGAATGCACATGGACATGGACACACACGCACACATGCATGCACCTACGCACATACACAGGCACACACGTACAGCTGCCCACAAGCATACATACAGACACATGCACCCACAAATACACATGTAGACATATGCACACACATATGCATATGAATAGGCATATACCACGTGTATACTTAGGTGTATATACAGATGTATACGCCCGTGTACACACTATGCAGTGTACACAGCAACATACACTTTACCCACAGGGTAGTGGCTATGCACATTGTTCTGCATTGCTGTGTTTAAGTTAATTAACTTGGCTAACTCATTCATTCAGCGAGCGTTCATTGAACACCTACTCTGCCAGACACTGCTTAGTCACCAGACGCAACAAGGGGCAAAGTGGACACAAATCCCTGCCCTCAGGGTGCTTGTGCCCTAGCAGGGAGAACTGGGGAAGGGAGCAGGTTTAGGGAGGGAAGTCAGTGTGTGTCTGAGTATGTGGGGGGTGCACTGCTGTGCACGTGTTTGCAGAGGTGCCAGGGAGATGGGATGCTGAAGACACGTGGGCTTGGGGGTCCCACTGCAGGCTTCTGATATGGAGGGAGTGCCACTGCTTTGCCCTTCCCCCTTCCCACCTGCCAGGCCTGGGGGGCGGCTCTCCCCTGGATGAAGCCAGAAGAGGGCCTTAGATGTGAAGTGAGAAGGGCCAGCCCAGACTCCAGCCCTGACTCAGAGCTGCATATGTGGCTTCTCTCCCGAATTCAGGCTCCTTTTTGTAAACTGGGTGCAGTGACTTCCCCTTGGACAGTTGATCCGAGGACTGAGGGGCCAGGTGAGCATAGAGTGGGACAGTGATAGGAGCTACAGTGGTCATGGGAGCAGGACTGGAGGACACAGCCAGTGTTTACTGAGCACTTGGGCCAAGTAATGGCAAAGGGTCACAATCTTCGTCTGTTCACCTTCTACTAGGGACCCATGCACCCATTTCCCGGTGAGAAAGCAGGTGTAGAGAGCACTTGCCCAACTCATGCAGCCAGGAGGAGAAGGGCTGGGTTTCAGAACAAGCATTACTGTACTCCAGGGCCCTGGCGACGAGGCCTCCAGGGTGTGTGTGAGTCTGCTGTTAGCCGTTTCCTTCCATATCTGGCTGCCTTGCTGCCTGGCAGGGAAGGCTGTTCCTGAGTCGCCCCTCTCTCCCACCCTCAGCTCAGAGCCCAAGATCCTCTTCTCCTACAAATGCCAAGTAGACGAGACAGAGGAGCCGGACGTGCACCTGCCCCAGCCCTATGCCGTGGCCCGGCGGGAGGGCCTGGAGGCGGCAGGGGCTGCTGGGGCCTCTGCCGCCTGCTACTCGAGCACACAGTTTGACTCGGCTGGCGGGGTGGCCTACCTGGACGACATTGCCTCCATGCCCTGCCATACCGGCAGCATCAACAGCACAGACAGTGAGCGCTGGAAGGCCATCAATGCCTGAGAATGGCCACCCTGGCAGGACGGCCCACCAGGGCTTGTGGAGGACAAGCCAGAGGAGAGGCCAGCAGGCCCGGAGCCCCAGCTGGAAGAGAATGAGGACCAGGCTGCAGGGCCTCGGGGCGGGGCAGGCCCTGTCCACACCTGAGTCTAGAGGCCTCCTCCCCCTTGGCCACCTCTGCTCTCACCAAGGACTGTCCCCCACTTCTGCCTGCTTGTGTCTTCCCAGAGCCAGACCTAGCTAGGCTGGTGAGGGCACCTTCTTTCTCCAGAGCCTTGTCACCGAGGTGGTCTGGTCCTCCTCACCCCTCTGCCCATCCCCACGGTGCTTCGGTCTCAGAGCCTTCCGTGGTGGGTGGGCTGGAGTGTATATTTTCTTGATCTATTTTTTAATAAAAAGGAAAAGGAGCAGGTGTTGATGTGGAGGCTTTGCAGGAATACGGGGGCTAGTTCCTTCTGGGAGCCCGAGGACTGGTGATGGGCCGGGAGACCTGGGTCTCTGTTTGCTCAACCCAGGAACAGTCCCCACGGTCCAGGCCCGGGCTGGCTGTCTCGAGGTTGGGGGAAACCGGATCCCTGCCGCCCTGCCCCGGGCCCATCTCACTGGAGGAGACAGGCGTGGAGAGAGAGGACTGCGGTTTCTACAAGCCGAGGCCTCTCTGCCGCGTCGTGGGGTCTGTATGATCCCAGCAGGGCCTGCCCTCCCTCTGTCTTGCTGGGCTGGCTCCTTTCCCTTGCTCAGTTCTGTCTTGCCATCTGTAAAATGGGAATGCAAAGGCCTGACTGGTAGGGCCTTTGTGAGGAGGAGAAGATAGCACAAACGGCTGGACAGTGGTGGGCTATAGTGAGAACTCGTTGTTCTTATCCTTCAGAATAGTGCTTGGCACACAGCGGGCACTGAGAGCGTAGGATGCTGGGGCATGACATTTGTGATAAGAGGAGGTATGGGGAAGGCCAGGCATGGTGGCTCATGCCTGTAATCCCAGCACTTTGGTAAGCAAAGGCAAAAAGATTATCTGAGCCCAGGGGTTCAAGACCAGCCTGACTGACTTCATCTCTACATAAGTCGAAAAATTGGCCAGACTTTGGGAGGCCAAGGTGAGTGGATTACCTGAGCCCACATGTTTGAGACCAGCCCAGGCAACTTGGAGAGACCTCATCTCTACAATAAAAATAAAAAATTAGCTGGGCGTGGTAGCATGCACGTGTAGTTCCAGTTACTTGGAAGGCTGAGGCAGAAGAATCACTGGAGCCTAGCAAGTCAATGCTGGGGTGGCTTTGAATGTGCCACTGCATTCCAGCCTGGGCAATGGAGTGAAAAAAATTCAATAAATAAATAAGCCAGGTGTGCACCTGTAATCACAGCACTTTGGAAGGCTAAGTTGGGAGGATCACTTGAGCCCAAGAGTTTGAGACCAGCCTAGGCAACATAGTGAGACCTTGCCACTAAAAAAAAATTAACCAATTGTGGTGGCATGCACTTATAGTCCCAGCTACTTGGGAGGCTGAGGTGGAAGGATTGCCTGAGCCCAGGGTCAGAGCTGTCGTCAGCCGTGATCGTGCCACTGCATTCTAGCCTAGGTGACAGTGAGACTCCAACTCAGAATTCTTTTAAAAAGTGGATATGTGAGTTGAACACGGGACTAAACCAGGTTAGAGCACTGGGATCATGAGTCATAAGTGAGGGGGCGAGACTTGTGTGTCCATGCTGCTGCCACGGACTCACGTTCAGCCTAGAGCTTGGCGGCAGCTGGAGCATGAGGGGAGTGCTACCTGTGGTGTAATGCCCACCGCTGGGGAGGAGGTACTCACCCAGGACAGACCAGACCACCTGCCTCGGGGTCTCAGCCCTGCCAGGGGTCAAGCTAGTGCCCATCTCCACAACTGCCCCCTTTCTGGGGAGGACGCCAGGGGCACCAGTTCCAATGCAGCTTGTGACTGTGTGGCCAACATGCTAGGCTTCCAGGGGTCCAGGGCGCAGAGGGTGTCAGAGGCATGGCCAGTGAGCGAGACTCCCGGGTCGTGTGGGGACCACAGGCTGCGGGCTTCCTGGAGGGCTTCTCCCAGGTGGCATGCTTGCGTCAGTCTAGGCTTGCTGGGTGTGATTCCTGAGTGAGTGGCAGAATCAGCAGAGGCATCGAGGAAGAAACTGGAGGCCTTTTTGTTCGATTTTAAAGTTTGGGTTTTTTAAAAATAGGTAATATATGCACATGGTTTTTTAAAAAAAAAGGCCCATGTGCAAGAGGATGCACAGTGGCAGGTGACCCTCCCTGTCTTGCACTGAGCTCCCCGACTTCGAGAAGCATCCATCAGGGATGCACAGTCTTCCAGAGCCATCCTGTGTCCACACACGCGGGTCTGTGCCTCAGCCCTGTTTTGGAATGTAAGTTTTCTTAGCTTGTTTCCTCCAACTGGTAATGAATCTTGGAGATCGTCCCCTGTCATCTTCACTCCCGCAGCTGCATGCATGTGGATAGAAGGCGACTTATAGCCCAGTCCCCTAGGGATGCACTTTTGTTTCCAGTAGATTTTGCAAAAACAAACCACGCAACCTCAAAAATCTCTCTCTGTTTGCTTTTGGTAACTCAAGCAAGTGGAATTGCTGGAGCACACGGTCTTAATTAGTTTTAATTACTCCTGTCAGCCTTCTACAGAGACTGATAGTTGCCCTACGATATATGTTCTCTTCGTCTTCCATTGTAACAGAATCTCTGATTTTTAGCTGGCTGCACAGCTGTCTGGCATCAAGACCGCATTTTCCACCCTCCCTTGCAGGTGGGCATGGCCGTGTGACTCCTTCTGCCATGGGTGTAAGCGTGCCTGCAGTTGCCTTGCAGAGAGGAAGCAGGCCATTCTGCTGACTGGGGATGTGCTTGTACGGCTGGAGTTGCAACAGCTGTTTGGAACCGCAGAGCAATCTCGGGAACGGAAACCTCTCGCAGCAAGGCCACAAGATAGAAAGAGCCCGTGTCCCTGACACTGTGGAGTGTCTGTAATAGTCTTGGACATTCAGATGACTGCCGGAATGTGTGAGAGATAAGCCACCATCTCGTTTAATCACTTTGGAGTTTTCTCTCCCAGTTGAACTAATCTGAACCAACACGGCCCTCCAAGGAGACTGCCCGGTTTTCATTTCTACCGGCACACCCTCACGGACACGGTGTGCTGTTCACGTTTTTCAGTGGTCCCAGGAGCCCGCTTGGACCACATCTCATGTGCAGGGTCCAGGGCGGGGGTCAGACATTATGAGAGGTGTGACCAGGCTCTGGGAGTCCTGGAGTCCTCGATACGGCGATGGAGTTCGCTTCCTGTGGCCCAAGGTGTGGATCTGACCTCCTGACTGCTGTGACTCATGGGCTGTGGACCTTGGGCAAGTCACATCTTCTCCCTGACCTCAGTATTCTTGTTAGAGACATGGGGTAGCAGATGACTTGTTGCTACCTGATAGCCATTCTTCCTTCCTCAAGAACGGTACCCTGATGTTTGTGGGTAAAGGAAGCACCCACCTAAAAGATGATGCCTCCTAGTCTCCTTTGTGGTCATTCATGTGGCTAAGTTCTGGCCAACAGGATGCTGGCAGAGGTATGGGAGGCTTTCTTTAGCTGAGGTTGCTTAAAGGGAGCTGACTCCGGTGGGAGATGCGCTTTTATGTCCTCCTATGTCCTTCCCGCTTCCTGGAATACGGATGTGATGACTGAATCTCCAGCAGCCACTTTGGGCTATGAGGAGACTTTGAGAAGCTATTTACCAAGGACAGTCACATAGACAAAGTGAGCCCTGTCCCTAATGATGGTGATGCTGCCATAGCAACATTGCTACCATCAGCCTTCTTTTACATGAAAGAAAACCACTGTGTTTACAGCCAATCCTTTTTTTTTTTTTTTTGAGTCAGAGCCTCACTCTGTCTCCCAGGCTGGAGTGCAGTGGCATGCTCATGGCTACCACATCCTCTACCTGCTGGACTCAGGTAATACTTTGTCTCAGCCTTCCAAGTAGCTAGAACTACAGGCATGCATTATCATGCCTGGCTAAGTTTTCTTGATTTATTGTAGAGAGCGATCTCGCCAAGTTGCCCAGGCTGATCTTGAAACCCGAACCCCTAGGCTCAGGCAATCCTCTCGACGCAGCCTCCCAAAGTGCTGGGATTACAGGTTTGAGCCACCACGCCCGGGGCCAATCCAATCTTAACTGAAATACGTGGAGATCATAATACACCCCCAAGAGGTCACTTGAAAGAACTGAATGACTTTTGGAGATAGCAGTTTGCGTCTGTATTTTTCTTGTATGCCCTCTGGTGGAAGCTTGATCCTGGGCTCCCCTGCTCCCAGGAGGCGAGGTGAGGAGGGGTTGGCCTCTGGCATGACTTTCGACTTTTTGTTTAAAGGCCTTGTGTTTAAATGTGCCAGCCTGACTCTTGACTGGGCTGAGACCTCCCCAGGGCAGAGGGAGTTTGTGGAAAGAACAGGTGGGGGTTCCCTGGGGAGCGAGATCTGTGTGTCCCTGAGCACTGAGGACGCAGGCTCAGGTAAGGCCAGGATCCAGGTAAGTCGTCGCCCTTATGTGGAGCCCAGAGCCAGCCAATCGTGGCACGGAAGCTATGGGGCTCTGAGAGCTGCCTAGGGCCTGCAGGGCCTGGATGCGGAAGCACGGTGTTCACAGGTGTGCAATCAGACCAGTGCTGTGATGTATTCATTTGCTCGGGCTGCCATAGCGACATGCTACAGAAGGGGGCTTCCACAGCAGAAGTTGATTTTCTCACACTTCTGGACATTGGACATCCAAGATCAATGTGTCAGGAGGGCCGGTTTCTCCTGAGGCCTCTTTCCTTGGTCGCAGACGGCCATCCGCTCACTGCCTTTTCACAGCCTGTCCCTTTTCACAGCGTGTCCACAGCGTATACACATCCCCGGTCTCTTTCTGTGTCCAGATTTTCTCTTCTTTTTATTTAAGGTTTATTTTCTTTTTTCAGACTCACTCCGTTGCCCAGGCTGGGGTGCAGGGGTACCATCATAGCTTACGGCAGCTTCCAACTCCTGGGCTCCAGGGATCCTCCCACCTCAGCCTCCCAAGTAGCTGGGACTACCAACATGTACCACCAAAACCAGCTAATTTTTTATTTTATTTTATTTTTTTGTGGAGACAGGGTCTCACCATATTGCCCAGGTTGGTCTTGTACTCCTGGCCGCTAGTGATCCTTCCACCTCAGCCTCTCAAAGTGCTGGGATTACAGATGTGAGCCACTGCATCCGGCCAAATGTTTTGTTTGTTTGTTTCTTTTTTGTTTTTGAGTCAGAGTCTCTGTCTCCAGGCTGGAGTTCAGTGGCACATTCATGGCCACTGCAGCCTCAACTTGCTGGGCTCAGGTGATCCTTCTGCTTCAGCCTTCCAAGTAGCTGGAACTACAGGCACACGC